CTGCACGGTCGGTCCACCCTCACCTACTCTGCTCCCATCCATGGCTCGATTGATTGATTGGCTGACTGATTGGTTCGCGCTTCGGTGGGGTTGATTGATTCGATCGAGCAGGATTGGGGACCAGTGCGCCAACCGCGGCGTCGCCGAGTTCACCCGCCTCCTCGCCGACTGGTCCGCCGCCGACGGCCACTGCCTGTATGACCCCGTCATCTTCCACGCCCTCCTATCATCATCTCATCTCCTAGCTACAGTTTGACTCTGTCGTTTGTGCTCAGAGAAATCGGAAGCGGGACATGGGACTCCTGGCTCATGCCTCTACAGCAACAGGTCTGCTTCTACTTCAACACTTTTCTCATATTTGTCTATCTCTACAAACATAATCAGAATCTTTTGTCTGCTGTAACTGTTGTAAAATCCACTCACCATACTGTTTTTCCCCTTGCATTGTCAACAGGCTGATGTCATTTGCAAGAAGGTCAGGTGATCGATTCAGCGTTTTGGGAGATGCTGTTTTATCCTCTGCTGTATGCCTGGCCTGACTGGTAATTTGTTTTTGCAGGTGAAGGAGATGAAAGAGCTAAGCGGTGGCTATAACATCGTTGGCCTATCTCAGGTACTATATATGTTCATGTGCTGCTGTCATTTTGTTTAAGATCAGTAGTTTTTCAGCTAAATGATAAATTATTATGCTGATTCTGCTCTAGTTTGTGTCACTCTTCTACTAAAATCTTGCCTCCTCCTTATGTCTTTGCACAGGGGAACTTGATTGGCCGGGCAGTGCTCCACTATTGTGATGATGGACCACCGGTGAGTTACAAGTGATATAATAGATGGCTTTCAGACTTATTCGTTTCTCCTCCCACCACCTATTGTATGCAACTGAATGCGAAATCTGGATTATTGTGAATGTGTTGGGCCTCAGTCCTCATGTCTAGCATGCCAACTAGTACCAGTTCTTTTCCCTACAAGTAGTATTTACAAGGTCGTACTTTTTAAACTTTCAATGATGAGTAGGCCTTACACTTCGCAGAGATTGCTATTCAGTTTTTGTGCAGTGAGTTAGGTATTCTGATACTTCTCCTAACAGGTCAAGAATTTCATCTCACTGGCGGGGCCTCATGCTGGTACCGCTTCCGTGCCACTTTGTGGTGTAAGTTGATCTAATTATCTCCAACTAATATCCAGTTTGTTATGTCAAGTTTTCAATCGACAGACTTGCAAATTATCTAAGAATAGATAGCTTTCTGCTCTTTCATGAATTTCTGATGACAACTACTCCCTCCGTCCCATAATATAAGAGCGTTTTTTACACTAGTGTAGTGTCAAAAACGCCCTTATATTATGGGACGGAGGGAGTATATACTAAAGAAATATATTGTAGAGGTATATGCTAATGCCATTCAATATTTAAACATCCTATATCAGCTCGTGCTAGCCTGAGCCCTGAGCACTTGCGAGATATTTGGAAAAATCCCTGAATGCAACTATCAGTATTGTGGTTATTTTAATGTATTAATATGTTCATGAAGCCCCGATGTTCAGTTTCCCGTATCCCCCTTCTACGGTCTGATTACTGTAGCTACCTCCTCCTAACATTATATCTCTCTTCTCTGCAGTCTGGTATTTTCTGTGTTATTGCTGATGCCCTGATTAAATTGGAGATCTACTCAGACTACGTACAGGTATTAGCGTCTTCGCTTAATCATGCCCCAAACTCTAGTCCGCAGTATTAATAAACTAGAGATTTTCAATGGAATAACTTGGCCCATGGTGAATTACAGGCACATCTTGCACCAAGTGGTTACATCAAAATCCCAACAGTGAGTATTATATTGCATTTCTTGAGGTCATCGTCCCGGTAAACAGGAACTCACCTTTATGTTATTGTAGTTAGTATCATTTTATAACCGAACCTGCACTTTTTTGAACTTTCAAATTGCTTGCTGAGTTGCTGTGCTGATCAGTTAACTGTTATTGGGCACTGACAGGGCTCTAGTATATCAGAGTAATAATGAATTATATATTTTTCTTTCAGAAGTGATTAACAAGAGGTTTGGTAACCATGTTATTGACATGCTAGTTTCATGTTCTATTGTGTGTGTTGCTAACTCACAATCCGTTAAGTAGGTAATCTTAATGTGTGTTTAGCTTTCAACTTTTACTTTTACTTCTTCACAAAGTGGAATATCGTAGAAACCATTGATTGGCCTTTAACCATAGATCCTGGAACTAAACCAGAGCAGTATTCGATGATATATTCTGAGCCACTGAAAATGTATACCGTCTTTTCAGGATATGGATGATTATCTGAAGGGATGCAGATTTCTTCCCAAACTTAACAATGAGATACCAGGTGAAAGAAATGCTACCTACAAGGAAAGGTTCAGCAGCTTAGAGAATTTAGTGCTGATCATGGTAAGGTTGAGAAAAGCCTAAAATCGCATTTTGACCCACGTTTAGAAGATTACATGGTACTCCCTCCCTTCCAAATTACTCGTCGCAGAAATGGATGTATCTAGAACTAAAATACATCTAGATACATCCATACCTGCGACAAGTAATTCAGGACGGAGGGAGAATGATATCAAAATGTTTGGCAAGTATATAGTGCACAGTATAAGTTGGCAAGAAATATCAAAATGTACTTCGCCTATGATGCCCTTAACTATTTTCCCATAATATGATGTGCAGTTTGAGAATGATATCGTCGTCATACCCCGGGAAACTTCATGGTTTGGTTATTATCCTGATGGAGCCTTTGAGCCAGTCCTACCTCCTCAGCAGGTAGAATTTTTGTTCTTCATGCTAAAATAGTGATGTGGATTAGCGAGTCGATGAAGTTTCGAGGCGATTTCTGCTCACTGACCGTGGCAAGATTTGGTCTGCAGACAAAGCTATATCAAGAAGACTGGATTGGTCTGAAGACCCTGGACGAGGCCGGGCGAGTCAAGTTCGTGTCGGTGCCAGGAGGCCACCTGGGCATCTCCAACAGTGACATGAGGAAACACATTGTGCCTTACTTGAAGGACAAACCATCTGCTTCCGCTTCGCTCGCCGCCACCTGGCACGCCGTCGGGGAAGCGCTCGGGCTGATGGGGGACGATGTCGGCGTCCTCCTTCAGTCCTCAACATGATGATCCACCATCTTGTCAGGGATATATATAATGTTGGAGTGGTGTACATGTCATTCTTTGTTCAAGCTTCGCTTGAAGCGCTGCTTTGTAGAAGACCACAACAACTGTAAAAACAAAAATCACAGGTTCCATGTCAGGTCCTTAATTAGCTTTATTCGCATGATTTGCTCATGTTTGGTTATATATATACACTTTGTTGCTTGTATTTTGGAGCTCATGATTTGCAATCTTCTACGTACATGCCTAGTATTCAACAGCGCAGTGGTTTTATGATTTGCAAAATGCGGCATGCTTCTCTTGATAGAAAAAATGCCAAATGGAGGCCAAATTTCAAAAAAAATCAAATTCATATTTTTTACTTTTCAAAAAAAATTGAAATAAAAAACTACACCTATACCTAGAGACACATTACATCCTCATATACATGCATACTTTTTTCGGAATTTTTTGGAACTGAAAAGTTTTAAATTTTTTTACTTCTCAAAATTTTCAGCCTCCGTGACGCTAGGCCTCCAAAACGCCCTACTCCTGTTGATAGCTTTATTCTAAAAAAAGTTCTCTAGGTCTGACCAAGTAAATAGAAAGATATATCAACATCTACGCCAACAAACTTGTTTCATTCAATTAATCGTAAAATATATTTTCATACTATATATATCTGGTGTTGATATTAGCATGTTTTTTTCTGTAGACTTGCTCAAATGTAGATTGGTTTGACTTTAGGACACAGCTAAACCTTCAAATAATTTAGAGTTGGCTGCAGCTGAAGTCCAAATATACCGCAAACACCTCATAAATTAGCTAGTGCACGGATCCATAAGATTATCTTACACACTAGGCAATGTTACTTTACTTGCTTTTACACACAAAATCGCAAGCACACTCAGCGGAAGCAACAAGATGCCAACCAAGTTCTCTGAAAGGAGAGGGGGATGCCAAAATTCGACGACGATAGCCGTCATGTCGTCTGGTTCATGCTGAAGCCACAGATATGGGGGAATAAATAGGTCAGCTGCTCTTCTCCACCAGTAGAGTAGGAGTGCTGTTTGCTCATCCTTCGCTTCTATGTGGAAGGCCCTGCTTGGTGGAGCTCCAAATTGCGAAGGACGATCCGTGCGAAGATCTTCGCTTCGATGGGAGCTGTTGCCGCGGCTGCTGCCACCCGTAAGACCCGGGATGCCCCGGCTTTCTGAAGTAGGGCTGCGTGGTGCACAGCATGTCGACCTGCCGGCATAGTGAACTGCACGCATGCATCATTAGTGACGTTAGTCAGGGGGGGGGGGGTGCAGAAACGAGCATGGAGGCAGGTTTGAATAAACCATTGATCATTTGCTTCAAATCATGTCAAATATCAAGGAGCACAACAATGACAAGAGCTAGAAACAGAGGCATGGCTAAACATATATGCATGCATCCCCACCATAAATCTGAATATACAAGAAAACGTTATGATATGTACATATTATGTGCTTCAGTTGATGAATGCTGATTGGGGCATTGTTACAATAAGAACCACCAAATGCTGGAAACTTGACAAAGTCGTTGAATCAGTAATTACTTGGTAGGCATGCTCCTTATGCAAGAGGAAGCCCGGTTACTACAGGAAGACAACTACGGGACTCAAGTCATACTAGCAGTTGATAAAACAAAACCAACCTGAAGCAGAGCAAAAGCTGCACAAGCACGAAGAACTGATGAAGGATTCCGTAGCGTGTCAACAAATCTAGCAATCTCAGCTCGGCTGAAGGAAGTTAAAATTAAATTAGTATCCTGTCTTTTACTCAAAATCAATACCTACATCATGCCACAAGCTCAAAAATAGTATGCAAGATAAGAAAATAAAGAAATCACAACAGCCCAACACATTATCACATAATAACTCATCCAACAGTAGTCCACATTAAGCATGGTCCAACACATTATCACATGATATCACTTTGAACAAATAGTCCACATTAAGCAGCTATGTGCTGCACCCACACAGCATTTGGAAACATAACTAGGCCCTTTCACTGCTCGGTGCATTCCTGAACCTAGCCAGCCCATCTTTCCTGCTTTCGTTTCTCCAGACCATGTGTAAAAGAAAACCTAATACTAGCAGTGCCGGTCTGGTAGAATCAAGTACTCTACCAGGTCTAGGCCGTAGGTGGTAAGGGAAGGATGGAGGAGGGTGTGGCGAGGAACGGGCGCGCCGGCGGCAGGGCGTCGTCGCGAGCTAGGGGAAAGGCGGCGGCGGTTAGGGCTGTTGGCGGCTAGGGTTTCCGGCTCCTCAGGGAGCCGGGCAATAGGAGATACTATTCTTCTTATTGCTTGATCTCAAACGATGTCTTACACGAGTATTTATAACTTTAGCCTAAGATAACTTGCCTAAGATAACTTGTGGGCCAAGCCCCCTAACTACTGCCCGGTGGGCCTCTTCCGGATATAAACTAAGCCGGCCATAACACGGTCATACCAGACCTCAACTCCTGACTGCAATCACCGACAACCACAAGCAGCAAGCAAGTTTCTGAAGATATTGAGGAACGAGAATCCTGACCAAATTTTAACAAACTTATTTCGCCCTCAACTACATAAATAAATGCGCTTATTTTGAGCCAAACACATTTAAAGTTACTGTTTCGAACTTTACAAATCTCAATGGATTAATCCGCCTATTATGGATGAGCTCTAAGAATGTCAGAACTAACTTTGACATGGTCATTAAGTAAACAAATCATCCCACTGATCCTTTTGCAGTGTTAAACATGGATAGTAAACCAGAACTCAGATTGAACTAACGGAGAGTTTATATCAAAGGAAGATGTCTTGACAAAACTGTCCTCATTTCATATTTGAGTTGAAAAATCAAAGGCTAAGCTTCAGGGCTAGCTGATAATATTCAATGGAATGCAAAATCAAACCTGCATCTAAGATGTCCAGCTTCTTGTATAAAAAGTGCTTCAGCAACCTGAGATAAGGCTGCTGCACCTGAGGATGAAGCAGCCGTAGAAAACATTTGTGGATCTGAAAAGGTCAACACAAAGGCTTCTATATGCTTAAATGCCAACCTTCTTGCTCCCTCAAATTTTACAATTTTGGAACTACCCTGTGAGGATGTCCCAACCAATGCTATCTCATCCATTCTGCCAGTCAAAAATTCAAGATTAGACCACATATAACACCATATATAAAGTACATACTTCTATTTACTGCAATATTTTCCTTCTCTCAGCAGCCATACTACAGAAATTCTAGCAAAATATCTATAAGCAGATATGGAGACCATAAAGCAAAGAGGCATAATTTGGAAGATATTATCTAGTGTGTGAGGAAGAGTGACATGTCAATGACACATTGGGTGGTGTTTTCTAACTTAAGAGATCTTTGCGAATGGCACTGACCTTTATACTGGCATGTAGCATCTAAGGTTGTCTACTTTTCAGATATCAAACAAGGGGTGCAATCCGTACAATACAAGGAAACTTTGTGAAGAAGGCTTGCATATACTTCAACAAAGTAAACTAGCATATGGTGAAAACAACTGACTTATGGTATGTTTTGTCATGACTTGTACAGCTTAAGCAACATGAGGGAGAAACAATGACACAAATACAGTGTACCTTCCATCAAACATATAAGCAAGGGTTAGTGCAGCCATGAACCGAGCCATTTTTGAGTGTGATGATGAGCACAAGTGCACTAGGACAGGTACGCCGCCTTCTTCAACTATGCGGAGAGAATTACAAGAATAGAAAGCAAGATTCCACAGTGCACCAGCTGCAGTCTCATGAACATCCTGTAGAAATAGCAAGTAGCATACCTTGAGAAAAATGAAGCTTTTCTTGTTTGCGTGATTAGCTTAGAAAGTAGGTACTGGATATCAAAGGATGCAAATCTATATGATAAAGTACCTTTAGAATCACATAAGCAGCAGAGATTAGTCAATCTTAACAGTGAACTAAGGGCATCATCGAGGTTCAAGAAAAGAGTATTATGGTGGCAAGAACTTAATCTTGACTTTACTAACAATATTGGTCAAGAAATCAGCTACATAAAGTTCAGATGAAGAAAATTAGATCAAAGAGGGTCACAAACTTCAAACATAACTGGACAAGGATGAAGTGCATGATCATAAGGCTGCTCTCAGAAGCTCAACATAGACCTATTGATAGAACAAAAAACTAAACATACAGTACACTGCATCGGTGCATTATATAAGGTGCATGATACATCTGGTACATTGACGCAAATAGCAATAGAACATGTGATTTTGTTTAAGGCATGTCAGTGTTTATATTGTCTTTATAAACCAAACACACTGGGTGCACTGAAGATAAGCAGCACTTACTTCAACCTCCGACTGTGCCAACGCAATTAGAGGTGGAACACCGCCTTCCCTTCCAATAGCAATGCTGAAAGCGCAATAGAAAAGTTAGCAGCAGGATCAAGGAAATATCAGTAACTGTATTGTGTAAACCACTTCCAATCCAGCACATCAAACAATAGACAGAAGAGTTCAAAGCAAATAATGGAGCTTATGCTGAGAACAATTATTCACTAAAGTCTCTGCAAATTTATTTTTAAAACAGAACCAGCAAGGTATTACATGACTGTCATCTCTACCCACCATAATAGTATAGCATCTTACATATTTTTACACCCACTACTTGTTGTTATTCATAATAAAACTAATATTTGTCCACCAGATCATACTGATATTCTTAATGATATTTTTTGTACAAATACATTCCGAAAATATGAACTAAATCCTGAAAAATCACCCTCATACAAACACCATCCTGCATCTTGCATTGCAAGATTTGGACTGAGAAGTCAAGCCAAAACAGAGTATAGCAAAAGAAAATTATAATAATCCAAATGCGCGATAATGCCATCAATTCAGTTACCTGTTAGCTTCTGAAACAGATAGTCCCCACAGAGCACCCGCAGCTCTCTCCTGAAGACCGTCCGAAGCATTTAAACATTCTTGACAGAGTGATACCTAAACAATTGAGTGA